TCAAGTGAGAAAATAGGTTGAACATATTGGCCTGTTGGGCAGTCTGTGCAACTCTTTCTTGATTAATGATTGATGTGGGAGGGCCCAGCCCACTGTGTGTAGTGCCACCCTTTGGCAGATGGTGCTGGGTCCTGTAAGGAAGCTGGCTGAGCAAGCCCTGGGCGACAAGCCAGGCAGCAGTGCTCTTCCATAGCCTCTGCTTCAGTTCCTGCCTCCAGCTTCCAGACTGACTTCCCTCCATGGAAGACTAAAAAGAGGGAGATGAAATAAACACCTTCTCCCCAAGCCGATTGTGGTTGTGGTGTTAGCACGGCACTAGCAAGCAAGCTAGGACAGGAGCCCTCCTCCAGAGAAAATTCCTTTGCCCAAATACATTTAAGATTTTTCAACACACTTGTGTGTCACCCTTTGTCACTGTCCCCATTAGTCACCATTGAAACACACCTGAGCAGGAGACATGAGGCACCTCACCTTCATGTTGTACCCTCTTAATGTCCAGTGTAACCTGCAAGGCATTCCCTGCAAAGACAAGGGTTTTAATTGGAATCAGAGTCCTGATTTAAACATCCCTGCTGATGGAAACAGGACAAGTCCCTTAGCCTTGCGTAAGTCATTTGTCCACTAGGAAAATAAGTACTGACCAAATACCAACCAAAAGGCATATTTTAGAGCTAAGTCAGCAAAAGAACATAGTCAGCCCTCAGCCCACACTGCCTTTTCATCTTAGCAAACTTTTTGGTCACCTCTAATCCAAACCACCACTAGTTTAGTCTTCAGCTTTAAATCTGTGGAACATGAACACTGATTTAAGAAACAAACAAACAAAAAACAGCATTTGACAAGACACAGTGGTGATGAGCATGATACCACCTGCCATTCGGAATCCTTGGCCAGGCCCAGCCACCTTGAGAGGCCTGGGTCTTGGTTTTTCAGGTTAGAGTCCATGGCTTCTGGGGCACTGTGTGCCTTTCAGTTCTGAGAGACAGAGGCACTCCCTCAGGCAGGGAAGTATTCAGGCCGCCTGTGTATCTCTGTTTCCTAGAAGTCAGCGAAGTATATAGGAGTTTGACAGGAAAATTGGTCTTAAACCTTAATCCTGTGTACCCTATCTAGCTTGCAGCCGACACTGTATCCTAGCAACTACCATTGTATCAATCCTGACAACTGCCATTATATGAGTATAAAAAGTCTGATTGCAATAAATTTGTTTCAGACTCAGTCTTGTTGAGACCCCCTTCAACTCAGCCTGGTTTTAATTCCTACCACCTATACCAGCAGAGCATGGTTCATTGAGTAAGTGTTGACACTTACAAATATCCAGGCCACCAAAGGAGTTCTAGGTCAGACAGCACTCACCATGGTTCATGCTGACCTTAGGTACCAGAGTTGGAATGTGTCCTGTACTAGGCAAACAGACCTTTCCACACTTTGTAAAAGATGATATGGCTTCATAGATCGAGGATGGATGGATCGATGGAGTGAGTCCCACCTTTGGGAACCCTGAAACATGCTGATAATCCCTCAATCAAGGCTTTCCTCAGGTGACTCTCAGCTGTAGCAAGCCGACTAGGACAATATTCAAACAGGACGGGAAGCAGAACCTTGACAAGACACATGAAGAGCCACAATCACAGTAGCATGGCTCCCAAGGACCCCATCCACACGACAACCAATGGGCTGTGCTTGTATACACACTGGGGACAGCAACAGCCTTCAAGGAAAGCCTGATGTGTGATGCAGAGAGGAACCTAGAGGATACAGCATGTGAAACACACCAGTCCCCAAAAGACAACTACTGCACAATCCCACTTGTAGTAGACTAGTCAAACATGGAGAAACAGAAAGGACAGGGGCCATCAGCAACTAGAGGAGGGGAAATGGCGAATGTCCACTGCCCATAGCTTTGGTGAAGGGGCCTGGAGACAACAGCATGGCAAGGTGGACATGCTCTGTGGCCTTCAGTAAGTCATGAAGGTAACTTCTTAAAAAACACCTCAATGCACTCCTACCTTTACATACTATAATGTACTTCTGTCTCCATTGAGAGTACTGTACCAAGTGGCTGTCCTGCTGTGTGCATTTCACTCAGTACCTAGTAAAGATACTCAACACTAAGAAACCCCATCAAGCAGGTCAAATATCCTGAAAAAAGCTTGGCACTTTTCTCCTTCCAGGTCATTTTAGGCACATCAAAGACACTGACTATGCAGTCACAGGTACTGTTTTTGCAAAACATTAACACTGAATCGTGTACCCATCTCTGGATTGAATGCATCTACATGCCACCCTCTTAAGTGTGAGCAGAACCCTAGCTCTCAACTGCTCTCGATGCAGGAAGAAATTCTAACACTCATTTTCCAGAAAAAGTATTTATTTGACATCATTAAAAAAATATTTAGGCACATGATTTTTTCATGTTTATGTCACCTGATTTACATACCTCAATGCTCAGTACCTTGTAAAAACACTAAGTAAATTGGTAAATAAAATCTATTTTGAAGACATTATGAGAGGCGGACAACTGTGGGAAAGTCAGTCCTTAGCCCGAGAAAGGAACATCTGTGAACAAAATAATCTCTAAAAACATTTCTGTGAGACAATTAAAATCTAACCAGTAGATTTCTTTTTTAAAAAATACTTTCAAAAGGAAGTTTCAAAAAACAAAACACTAGCGGCTCTCATCATTCCACAAGGTGAAAGGTGAACAGAAGGAGGAGATGGCAGGCTTGGAAAAGTGATGGCATCGTTGACTATAGAGAGCTGCCCAGACGTTGAGGAGGCCAGTCCAGTGTGTAGAGTTCTGAGGTGAGGGAGGAAGGCCTGGAAACGACCTTAGGGTGACAGCTAAGTCTTCACTGAACCTCCATTCTGAAACACAACTGTCTCCCACTGAGACAGAAAATAGCTTTCACTTTTTCAAATTTGCTATCATAATATGAAAATAATTTCCCTCTTAAAAAGCGGAATCACAGTGGCTATAATTATACAGACAGTATTTTTGTTTTGTGCTTTCAAAGGGTTAGAGGACAGAGACTGTCGCCTAAGTATCTGGAGGCAAGGAGGCACAAGCTTGAGCTTCTCGGGAAACAAGCTGCCCTAAACCGATGGCGCTGAACAAACCAGGGAAGGAGGCCAGACCCACACCTGATGTGAGCCCTATGTAATGTAACTTCACTCACTCTCAGTATTTCTCCCCAGGGAAGGAAAACTCCAGTACAGTCTGTTCATGGGAGAAACCAGCATCACACAGATGTGGGAAGAAAGCATCCAGGTCAGGGGAGGGCTCAGGACGGGCAGTTCTGAGAGCAGCACGGCTCGTCTGAGCTAGAATATGATCTGAGGACCAAGTCCTCTGAAATGGAAACACTGTTCTTTGGGGTGGGCCTAAGACCGGTGTCAGCTGAAACTGCAGGCAGGCCTTATTTAAAAATCACCGAGTTCTTCCATTTGTGTCCTTCCAACTAAAGTCAGATCTCTGGTTGAACAATTGTACACTATGCCAGAATATGCCCTACTTACTTGTCCACATGCAGGTCAGTAAGTCTTCTCTCACTAGAAGAGCCCTAATAATGAAAGCAAAGGTGCCCAGGCCTAAAGCCCTCAGTGTGCCTGTGAACCGACCAAGGGACACTAATACTCTGTGCAGAATCTGCCTCAGATTTACTGACCAAAACTTTCCAGATTCCTGATATAAGATTGCAGAAAACTTATATATATAATATATACATATATATGTATATATAATTTATATTCAAGATGGAGCCTACAGATGAAATTTTAAAATATAGGGGAAAAAAAAAAATCAAAGCTCTCCTGTTCCCCAATGAAACATAAAAATTCACACTGTTTAGGCCTGCAGCATCCAGCCTGCTGCCCACAAAGGCAGCAGAGGCCCAAGCAAACACACCCTCCTCCACAGCAGCTGAGGTCTCTGTGCCATGCCACCCAGCTCTGGCAAATGCTCCTCCCTGGGGCCATTACGCCCGTCTACTCCCAGCAGCTCTCTCTCAGAATGGGGAAAACCATCCTGAGATGCTCATCAGTTGCATCCCAGGACTGAGGGTACAGGTGGGTGTGCCCTGAAGGGGTGACTTTGATCCTGCCAGGAAGAGATCAAGTCCCAACAGTACAAAGACACTCAGTTAGCTCTTCCCTCCCACCAACCAGTTCACAAGCACCAGCCCTGGTCTTGTCATGAGACTTGCAGACAGGAATATAAAGAGTAGCAATTGCACCCCCATAACGAAGGCATGGGGAGGGAGATGGCAGCCACCTCAACTATCTGCCTCTCTAGAAGAAGCATGACACCGAGCCACCGAGTGCTGTACTGGAGACCACAGATCCCCAGGGTCTCACTGTGGGCTCTGAACTCTCAGAGCGGTAGGCAGGCCAGGTGCTTCTAACCTCACAGGCCTGCAGTTCTAGAGGGCTGAAGGGACCAGCACACAGTCCCAGTTCTTGTGCTGTACAGAGAACCAAATTCTCCATCTTACATTCAGTCTGTGGCAGGAAGGAGCTTTTGTAACCACCATCAGCTCATCTCTGCATCCCCCGCACTCAGCACAATGTCCAACAGGTATGTTCCATGCATTACTGTTGAGTGACTAACAAAGTAATGGCCAGCTTCCTCCACCCTTTGCTTATCTCCTACTGAAAAAAATAGGGACCAGACCTTCCAAGGCACACTCAGCTGGCCCCACACAATCCAGGGAAGCAGGACACTTCAGAGCCTCGTGGGGTTTTCATTGCCGAAGTTGTCACCTTTGGCAAATGTAGTGATACTATGAAGATAATGCAATTAGAACAGAAAGTTCAGATCCTAGACTGTGTTTCCAGCTAAATCGTCTCCGGACACAGCCCGCTAGAAGGCAGCTCCAGCTGGAACACATTGTATATACTACCAGGAACACCTGGGTAGCATGCTACAGGGTAGAAGATTTCAAAACACTGAAGTTTCACTGTCATAGAGAAGAAAAATAAATTAAAACCCACCCAGTACATTTTCCAGTCTGACATAAATTAATTCAAACATAGTTAACATACAGTCAATAAATTTTCAAAGGCAACAATCAGTCCTAGGGTCATACAACTGCAAAGGAATATTACTCCCCGAGTCCGCACCCTTCAGTGTCTTCAGGGCACACAAGCGGCGGCCAGCAGGTCATACCGCTCCTTTCCCCTTAGTGTCCAGCTTGTTATTGGCCTCTGACTGTTTGCTCAGCTGCTCTTCAGTGAAAGTGATGTAAGAATACACCAGGCTTCCAGCGATACTGCAAGACAGGAAGCCACCGTGAGGGAGGGAAAAGAAGGAAGGACTTGTGACATTTGTAATGGGGAAGAGCCTGATAAAAGTTAAGTGCCCCCCCTCGTGGGAAATTACTATATAAATTAATACATCCATTTAAAATTCTATAAATGATACAAGCAATGATATCTTAAATGAGAAAATAACCACACAAAACATTAAATGTTGGTCACTTCTGTATAAATCACATAGACATGAATACGTGCTTCAGTTTGGACTAGAAGAGAGACAGATCTGGAGCACACACCAAAACCAAGACCAAGAATGCGCTGTGGGTGCAGCTGGCTGCTAAGATGCCATGTGGTTCCTCTCCAGTTAGAAGTAAGCTCGGTGAACATTCCCCTGAGCTCTTGGCCTATGCAGCTGGTTATCAGCATGCCTCACCTGTTCCTATACTGCACACCACAGTGCATCCATGCAGACAATGGTCTCTGTTTGTTCTCTGGGGGGGGGGACTTCAAACCTTCCCGCCTCTCAAACTGAGCTGGAAGCTGGAAGGGTTCACAGAAACAGCACCCCTGTCCGACTCTTCACTTGAGACTGCCAGTACCCATCCCACTGGGTCTCCAGCCAGCTGAGACCTTAAAAATTGTCCTGCCCTGGATCTAGGCCCCATCTTCGGCCTGGCCACAAGCTTCATCCACATGATTTAAAACTCATTCTGTTTTCCTCTGGGCTTTGATGACCCAGCCCCGGGCCAGCTGTGGAAGAGTGAAAGCTGCCAACCTCAGGCTCCCATGAGGAAGCGACTGAAACGAGGAGCTATTATACCACTACCCACTCTCTGCGCCCTCCGCCCATGCTACACAAAGCTTCCTTTACTCTAACCTTCCTGACACCATTTCCGCAGACTCATTTGTTGACGTGCATGGTATGTTTGCATTTTCATGCATTCCTGCCACTTCAATACCCCTCCAAGTGGCTACATCCCTGCAAGCTGCCCATTTTACAGAAGAAGAAAGGGAGTCCTCAACCTGTAGGAAACTTGCTCTGAGAAATGGCTCAGTGGTTAAGAGCACTGGCTGTTCCTCTAGAGGACCTGGATTCAATTCCTAGCACCCACACGGCAGCTCACAGCTGTCTGTATTCCAGTTTTAGGGGACCCATGGCACCAAGTACACATGTGGTGCACATATACATGCATGCAAAATACTCATACACAAAAACAATAAAGGAACTTGCTCAGCATCGGGGTTCCAGGCCAGGCTGTCTTGCGGCAGCAACTGCCTCCCCTCAGATCCCACTGTACTTGAGTCTGCAGCTCCCTGCCCTTCACTGTCATCAACCTGTGAACTTGCCAAGTCTTATTCTTAAACTTATTTAACTTTATGTGTGGAGGTGTTTTGCACGCATGAGTGCACACTATGTGCATTCCTGGTGTCTAAGAAAACCAGACACTGGATCCCCTGAGTCAGTTACAGACAGGGTGCTGGGAATTGAACCCTGGTCCTCTGGAAGTGAAGTCTGTTCCTTGGGAAGAGCAGCCAGTGCTCTTAACCGCTGAGCCACCTCTCTAGCCCCCCGAGTCTTATTCTTTCAGCTGAAGTCCCCTGCAAGGCGCTTGCACTCTGCAGTAATGAATAACAACGCCGTCCACTGCCCTGTATCACTGACTCCGAGCCAGGGGCTCTTGCTGCCCCTTGCCTTCAGCTGGCAGCTCTTCCATCCTGCTGCTGTAGAATCTGATCTGCCTCCAGCGTGTTAGTCCTGGCACACGAGTTCCCTGCTAGGCTGGCTAGGACCAAGCCTTTGTGCTAAAGTTACAAACTCCCTGAGGACCAGGTGCACATCTCCCCATCACAGAGCTCCCTTTCCTCCAAACCTACCCTAACCCAGGACAGTGGAGAAGGACTGCCCCTTCTTTCTGTCGTTCCATTTTCCTCTAGGTTGTTCCATCCCCATGACGACCTAAAAACAACACTTACTCTTCCTGTCACTGAGTTCCTTCACCTGGACAGGAACACCAGGAAGTACAGGCTTAGAGTAGGGCAGGGCTTAGGCATGTCCCCAGAGGCTATTCTACCCTGGTGTAATAAAATAATTCTGGACCAGCGTTGGGTCTTGGTTCAAACCCTGAATGTACTACTAGCTCTAAAATAGGAAAATTAATCTTTCTGAAGCATTATCTCTGTACTGAGTAAGAATGCCACTGTGAACAGGGGATGGCTTCTCTGTGTAGCCCTGGCTGTCCTGGAACTCACTCTGGCGACCAGGCTGGCCTTGGACTCTGCCCCCTGAGTGCTGGGATTAAAGGCGTACACCACCATTACCCTCCACCCCTGCCCCAGCTGGTACACGCCTTTAGTCCCAGCACTCAGGAGGCAGAGGCGGCAGATCTCCGTGAGTTCCAGGACAGCAAGAGAACAGAGAGAAACCCTGTCTTGAACCACCCCCCTCCAAAAAAAAAAAAAAAAAAAAAAAAAAAAAAAAAAAAAAAAAAGGAAAAGAAAGAAAAATAAGAAGGAAGAGTCAGCCACTGTGCATTTAGGTTTATCTGTTAGATTAAATGAGATTATATGCACTGAGAATATAACTGTGGGCTAGGATTGTAGCTCAGTGTCAGAGTGCTTGTCCAGCATAAGCAAGGGTTTGTGTTTGATCCCACTACAAAAATAAGAATAAAAATAAAGCCCATGTTAATGCACGAGAGCTTGCTCATGCACGCACACACACACACACACACACACACACACAGAGAGAGAGAGAGAGAGAGAGAGAAAGGGAGAGAGAGAGAGAGAGAGAGAAAGCGCACTATAGCACAGTGGTGAAGAGGGGATACCTCTTCTATTCTCCTTTCCCTGTTGACCCCGATACAGAGGAGAGGGGAAGCATCAGCACAGCTAGTCATGACACTATAAAACACTGCACACCAGACAGCACATGGACAGCAGATTTCTGCTTCTCCTGGTTCTGGGGCTGGGCAGTGCAGAGTGAAGGTGGAGCGTGCATGTGATAGGGAGCCTTCTCACTGGACCCTTGAATGAAGGAGGGGGCAGGGTTCCCTGCTTTGCTAAGGACACCAATCTTCAACTCCTGATGCCATTCCCCTTCCCAGGGCTTTTTCCCTAAAACTCTGACCCTGGGAGTCAGAACGGGAGCACCACAATCGGAGCAACACAGCATTCAGTCCACAGCAAGGGATGAAGGGAAGAGCTGCAGCCAATACTTCAGGTCTTTCCCCTGGACCTGACTATCATCAAGTACAGCATTTACAGAGATGCCATTTCATGAATCACCTGGTGAGAACTGAGTATCCAGCCAATTACATGTATAGGCACGTTAAAACTGAGAACTAATCACCATACAAGCCTTTCTAAAAACTTGAGCATAAATCTTAGAGACCCAAGTATTACTAATTCAGAGACCTGCTGAGGTAGACACAGTTGGAGGATAAAAATGGCACTGGGGATGAGGGAGGAGCAGGAGGAAGAGGAGGAAGAGAAGGAGGGTCAGGGGAATCTAGTTAGATTACTACAGTCTAGCCTGAAATTGCACCACCCACCTCTTCTAAGTCTGAATCTATGAATTCTACAGAAACTATACCACCTCTGATCAGATAGCCTGTGGTTTCTAGATTCACAGCATGCTGGGAGTGGAGCTCAGTGGGTAGACAGCCAGCCTAGCATAGCAGAGTCACAGGACTTGATCCCCAGAGCACTCTAACATGGATGGTAGATACATAATGTCACAGAACAAAGGGGGCTGGAGAGATGCTTCAGTGGTTAAGGGCACTTACTCCTCTTGTTGAAGAGCTGAGTTCTGTTTCCAGTACCCACATGGTGGCTCATAACTGCCTACAACTCCAATTCTAGGGGATCCAATGCCCTCTTCTGACATTCACAGGCTCCTGCACACACATCCACTCAGACATAGACATACACACATAGAAATAATACATACTTTTTAAAAATAAAAGTTACCTCCAAGGCCCACAGTCATGGCCATGTTCACTAACTTCCAATAATTAAATACTCAGCCTATAAAATCCATCAGTGTAGCAAGCCCATGGCAGAGAACAAGAATCCTACAGCCCCTGCTATTTGCCATGTTATTTGCCACTGACATGTTAGTGTGTGTGAGTTTGGCAGACAGCTCTGCATTCTATAAGCCAAACATGCCAATCTACTTAAAACCTATGAATCAACCGTTTGATATCTGCTATTTCCAAACAGGTATAATACCCGCCAAATAATTGATTTCAGGTGCAGTCTTCCCAGAGGTAAGGCCGGCTACTCTCAACTGTCCCAGAGCAAGCCACTGCAGAGCGCCTTCCCACCTTGCTTCATCAGTCAAACAAACAGCTGCATTGCCATTATCCCCACAGGGCCACCGTGGACTCCAGCAGCTACAAAGCTGTGAGCTCTGTGACAGAGAGCACCTTACTTTAGCTCCCTCGTCTGTGCAGCAGAAACTAGGGCTCCACTCCTACAGTCAGAATTAAGCTATAGAATCATGTGAAGGAATTAGTTCCTTAGAACCATGCAATAAATTATACGCTTATTGAAATGGTAATAAAACCATTTCAAAAGGTTAAGAGTATGCAGTAGCCAACTAGTAGGAGTAAAAGTCAAATGCTGAGGCCTTTCAAATACCCTTCTGTGAAGCCTCCCACACAAACCCTGGCAGGGTTTGTTTTCTGGGAACAGCACCTGCATTCCTGACCAATTGGGCAGTTTCTTCACAACAGCAATCCTGCAAACTCTTCCCAGGAAGGTCTACAGGTGCCTAGTCATTGCTGTGGATACCACTAAAGTGTTCCACACTGCCACCCCTGAACTGCACAAGGATCTCCACATGAAGGGCTGCCAATAACACCACCTTCCTTCAGGCTAATCTCAACACAGTGGCTAAACGGTCCTGCTAAAACTAAGTCACATGACACTACACTCAAACTCTGCCAACATCCTTCCCTCTCCCCCACAAAAATTTTGAAATGACCATAAAGCTTCCCCTTAATCTACTCCT